CTATTTCATTTGGTTCTCTCTCTCTGGGGATTCCTCCTTCCCTTCAAGTCGGGGGTGTTTCTTTGTCTTCTCATTATTTGTGAGACTCTTCTTTTTTGCTTCTGCTTCTTAAATTGATCTGTCTTGACTTTCTGACTTTGTGATGTGTCAACACTTTTCTTATTATATAGTGATATTCTTGGTCTCTTTTAACAGTTTTTGATGTAAAACCTAGTTTATCTGTTATTAATGTAACCATCCCTTCTCTAGTTTGGTTACTATGTATATGGGCTATCTTTTTCTACCCTTTTACTTTCAACCTATTTGTGTCCTTAGATCTAATTTGAGTTCCTTGTATGCACCATATAGTTGGGTTCTCCATTTTTTGATTGAGGGAAATTAATCCATTTACACTTACACTTAAAGTAATTATTGACAAGTGAAGACTTAATATTACCATTTTGTTATTTTCTGAATATTTTATAGCTTATTTTGTCCTTAATTTCCTCTCATCTTTATGTATGTTTATTTGATTTTTTAGTGATATGTTTTGATTCCCTTCTCATTTCCTTTTGTGTATATTCTATAGCTATTTTCTTTTTAGTAACCATGGGGAATAACAAAACATTCTAAAATCATAACAGTTTATTTTCAATTACATAACTATTTAATTTCACTTGCATACCAAACAGTGCATATCCTTTACAGCTCCCCTCCACACGCTTAATGTTATGTTTTGAATTTATGTTTTTGAAGTCACAAACTACATCTTTATATATTGTGTAACCATTAACATAAATTCCTAATTTCTTATGCTTTTGTTTTTAAAGCCTGTAAATGAATTTAAAATGGAGTTATCAAAAAAAATTGCAAAATCTGGGTTTATTTTTGTCCATATACTTACTTTTACCAGAAAAATTTATATTTTATTGTCTGGTGTTCTTCCACTTCAACTCGAAGGACTCCTGTTAGCATTTCTTGTAGGGCAGATCTAATGGTAATAAACTTGACAGTTTTTATTTATCTGGAAATATCTTAACTTCTCCCTCATTTTTGAAGGATATTTTTGCCAGATACAGTATTCTCAGATGTCAGTTTTTCTTTCAGCATTTTAAGTATGTTATCCCACTGCCAAAGGCCTTCAATGTTTCCATGAGAAATCTACTGATTATCTTATTGAGGATCCCTTTTACATACATAACTAGTCACTTTTCTGCTTTCAAGATTCTCCATCTTTGACCTTCTACAGTTTCACTTTCCCGTGTGTCACACAATGGGTTCCTTTAGGTCCTTCCTACATGGAGTATTGGTTGAGCTTCTTGGATTTTTAGATCCATGTCTTTCTTTCCTCAAACATGAGAGATTTTTAGTCATTATTTCTCCAAATAACTCTCTTCCCATTTCTCTCTTTCATTCTTTCTGAACTTGCATAATGCATGTATGGTCAACTTAACAGTGCCCTATAAGACTCTTAGGCTATTTTTACTTTTGTTCATTCTATTTTCAGTTTGCTTTTCAGACTCAATTATTTCAAATAACCTGACTTCATTCACTGATTCTTACTTTTTTGTCTGTATGTTGAACCCCTGTAGTGATTTTTTCTAATCAATTTTTCTGTTTTTAAGTTCCAGAATTTGTTTGGTTCTTTTTTTATAATTTCTGTCTTTTTGTTGATAATATCCCTTTGTTTACATATTGTTTTCCTGATTCCATTTTGGTGCCTTACCCATGTTCTCGCTTAGCATATTTAAGACAGTTGTTTTAAAGTCTTTGTCATGTAAGTTCCAGGCCTCCATTTCTTTAGGTTGAGTTTCTGAAGATTTATTTTATTCCTTTGAATGGGCCTGGTTTCCCTGTTCCTTTGTATGCCTTATGACCTTTGTTAAATATTTGGGCATTTGAATAAAATAGTCCTCTTTCCCAGTCTTTGCAGACTGGCCATCACTGCTTAGTCCCGAGGAAAGCTCATGGTCCTCTCAAGTCTTTCCTGGGGAGTATCTTTTCCAGGCCTTTGTACATTTTTGTGTGTTTTGGGGTTTTTTTTTCCATTTCCCCATATATACAGGTGCTTTCAAAGCCTTTATTTCATTAAAAGTCTCATTCCTGCTTCTTTCTTCAACCTTAGATGTTCTCGTATTCTACATGTAATCTCTTGCCCCCAGATACCTACAGGTCTGCAGTTCCCCTGCAGCTCCTACATACCATAGAGACCGCCACTGCCTTTTGCGGTCCCTATCCTGAAAATTAGGCTATTTTCTCTTCTTGCCACTCTTCCCGTCAGCAGTTTTCATTCATCTAGGTTTTCCTTAATTCCTTCAGTAAAGTTTCACAATTTTCAGCACATAGGCCATGCACATCTTTTGTTAGATTTGCTCTTAGTTATTTTATAATTGTGGCCATTCTAAATGATATATTGTTTTGTGTTTTCTAATTATTCATAGCTACTGCATATAAATGCATTTGACTTTTTTTATTAATTTGTCAATAGTTCTATTTTCTATGTAGAGTAAACAATCAAATCATCTCAAATAATCACTAGTCATGAACCATCTTTATACATACTGCTATTATTTTTATTAATTTGTTAGTGGTTCTGTGTTTTCTAGGTTGATTAAGGAATCAGATCATCTCAAATAATCATTTCATTTATTATTTTCCAAGCCTCGTGCCTTGTTGTTCATAATATTAAAGTCTACTAATATACTAAATTATAAGTTTTCTAACATTAAATTCTCATTGTTTCTCTGGATAAACTCAACTTGGTCAAAGTTATTGTTTTTTTATTCACTGTTAGAAATGATTGCTAAAATTTATAGAGGATTTATATATCTTATTTCATGGATCAGATTGGCCTGGGATCTTCTATTCTCATTCAGTCCTTTTTTTTTTATTTTAGAATCAAGGTTTATTTGCCTCATAGAATGTGTTGGGGGTAGTTCCTCTTTTGATTCTCTGAGTTTGTATAAGATCAAAAAAATCTGTTCCTTGGAAGTTTTTTAGATATCAGTTTAAAAATCTATTATACCTGGTGCTTTCTTTGTGGTAAGATTTAAATCCTATTTCCTATTTGAGGGAGTTGAAATAGATTATATTTTTCTAGGAATTAATCTGTTTTCTCTAATGTTCAACTTTGTCGTCATGAAGTTGTTGATAGTGCTCTTTTTCTCTTCTGTGTCTGCAGTATATCCCTTTTTTATTCCTAATATTCTTTGAGCTTTCTGTTTCTTGACTAATGTTGTTAGAGGTTTGTCTTTTGTAGTCTTTTTAAAAAATGACTTCTTATTCATTTTTTTAAGGTTTTCAATTGTGTTCATTTCAATTTTTTTATCATCAATTCCCTTCTGCTTTATAAAAATGTTTTCTAATGTATTTTTTTCTTTTTCTTCCCCTTGGTATTTCAGGTTGGACACTTTGGTCATTGGTTGTTGTTCTTTCATGTTCTATAATATAAGCTGTTTTATATTTTTAAGTGTCCTTATATATACCCCACTTTTGGTGCACCCCAAAAGCACAGTTTTACAGTGCTTAATGTTTTATTTCCATTCACTTGTAAGTCATTTTTAATTTCATTTATCTAATGTTAACAATTTGATCCATTTTATTGTTGTGTTTTAGTCAGAATATGCTCTATATCCGGGTAGGCTTTACCCCACCTCAGGGGTTGACAAATTTTTTATGTTAGAGACCAGAAAATAAATATTTCAGGCTTTGAAAATCCATGTGATCTCTTTCAACTACTCAACCCTGCTGTTATAACATAATATGTAAACAAATAGGAAGAATGGCTGCATTTTGATAAAATTATTTACAAAAGTAGATGGTAGGGTGGATTTGATCCAAGGCAGCCCATAGTCAGCATGAGACCTGTTGTTTTGTTGAGGTGTGCTTTTAGAGCAGTTTTTCATATTTCCATGTGTGCCCAAGAAGAATTTGTATTATCTAGTTGTGGGTGTGTCATTCTGTATGTGTCCTAATGGTCATGTTTACTAAATGTTTATTTTTAATTATGTGAATCTGCATATTTTAGCCTTTCTAGACCCATCACTAATTGAGTGTACATTAAAAGCTCCCCATGAGGGTGATTTTGTCCCTGTCTCTTGACTTTCTCTTTCTCCAGTGATGATTTTGTTTAACAGTCTACTTTGTGTTATAGTTGTAAAACACAAGCTTTTTTTTTTTTTTTAATTTACTTACATATCTCTCTCCATCTTTAACTTTTTTAACATTCCTGTATCCATGTTTATGTGTTTCTGGCCAAGATCATGCGTCTGTCTTTTGGTTTCTCTAATCTGACAAATGACAAGCAGTTTTTCTACCCCAAGGTGAAACCACATACATTTTTGGTTCACATTTCTTTAAGACCCACATAAACTTTAGCAAGAAAGTTGATCACATTGATTTTCATACCTCTTTTAGCATCATTTCTATTTCTTTTTACTTCGAGTATTTATTCCAGAACATTCTAAGGATGGATCCTTACTGTGGTAAACTTTCTGAGGTCTTACAATATTTATTATCCCATCTTATATGAAGAACTGTTCACCTGGATTAAAAAGTAGATTTTGAGGGGGTTTTTTCCAATATACTTATTTTTTAAGATTTTATTTATTCATTTTTAGAGTTAAGGGAATGGAGAGAAATAGAGACGAAGAGAAACATCAGTGTGTGAGAGAAACATGGATCGGTTGCCTCTCATGTGGCCCTGCTGAGGACCTGACCCACAACCTAGGCATGTGCCCTGACTGGGAATCAAACCAGCAACCTTTCAGTTCACAGGCTGACTTTTAATGCACTGAGCCACACCAGCCAGGGCCATTTAAAATACACCCAGTGTATTTAAAATACTACTTTAGTCCTGACTGGTGTGACTTGGGAGTGAGCGTTGTTCTGCAAAGCAAAAGGCCACTGGTTCGAATCCCAATTAGGGCAAATATGCCTGGGTTGCTGGCCAGGTCTCCAGTTGGAGGAGTGTGAGAGGCAACCAGTAGATGTTTCTCTTACATGTCGATGTTTCTCTCCCTTTCTTTCTTCCTCCCTTCCCTTCTCTCTAAGTTTTATACATCTTTTTTAAAAATAAAATACTACTTTATCATGAAACTTGGCATCTCTTCCTTTGTAGGTGATGTGCTCTTGTTTGTCAGAAATTTTCAAAAATTTTTTGTGTTCAATATCCACAGATTCTCCTATATTTCATTCTAATAATGTGTCTAAATACCAGTTTTTTCATATCTTCATCAGTAGTCAATGGAGCCTTTCAACCTAAGGTGATTCATTTTTCTTTAATTATGTGAAATCTATTCATATTATTTCTTCAAATATTTTCTTCTTTGCTCTGTATTTTTCCTGTGGGCCTCATGTAGATGTCGGACCCATTTGTCACACGCAGTCTGCCTTTACCTAGACAGTCTCTCCCCTTACCGTTTGCCCTCTCTGTGCCTTCCTGCTTGAGCACTGGCTGCTCCTGCATCTGATCCCACTTGACTTGGTCTTCAGCAGTGTCCACTCTCCTGCTAATCCCATCTCTTTCAACCACTGTGTTGCTCAAACTTAATATCTACACTTTTTTCTTTTCCTTGTCTTGCTGCCATGTTGATTTTAACATCTTGGGCCTTCTCTTCTCGTGGTGAATGTTGTCGTTTGGTGGTTTTCCCTTTGCAGCAACTGTGCTTCTCAGGGTTCTGTGCAGTGGAGACTCTGCCTGGCAGTCCATGTTGCAGAAGTGCCCGGGCAGACCTTGGTGCCAATGCACCTAGGCATGGAGGAGGCGTCAGCAAGAGCCAAGGGCAGATGACTATAAAACCAAAGCCAGTCATTGCCCCCCAGGCCCCCCACCCCTAGGCTTGACCTCAGCCCCCTCGAGAGTATCAGCATAAGGGAACGGCTCCTCCCGGGTGGCCATCCACCTGTGCGTCTGCCCTGGTATCCTACTTTCATCCTGCTCTGGAAGGCCAAGCTCTTGTGGCCACTGAACAGTATAGTTGAAGGCTAGTGGTGACTATGCCAACAGACTTAGGGGACATGGAGGAGTAGATCCTACCCTGGTTTTCTCTGCAGTATCCTTGCACTGTGTCCCTCTGCACCCTGCCACGATACCCCACACACCCCAACTCAGCCTTTCAGTTTGCCCAGGGCTTCCTAGCATGCAGAGAAATTTTTCTTACCTACCTCTGGTTTCTCCAAGGGGTACCTGGTAGTCACATGGGCAGACACAGGGTCTCTGCTAGGCCAGGAAAGACCCCCACAGTCTAGGTCTTCTCAATGGCACGCAATGAGTTGTCACTCCTGTGTCCACAGGGTCTGCGGAAGAGGGAGCTACTGAAGGAGCTGCTGCCAGTCATCGGGCAGAACCTCCGCTTCCAGCGGCTCTTCACCGAGTGTCAGGAACAGCTCGACATCCTGAGGGACAAGTAGCTTGCCCACATCTGCCCTGGCTACAGCAAGGGAAGGGCCACACTCTTGCCGCTGATGACGTGCAGGGCCGCCGCTCCCCTTGCCGAGCTACAGTAGGTCAAGGAGACACTGGCAGGAGGTGGTCCGTCCTGCACCAGCACCAGCCCAGCGGCCTGGGTAGACTTCCCTTGTGCCCTGGGCCTGTTGCTGCTCCCTTGGAAGGGGGCAGTTCTGCCTGCTACTCGTCCCCCGCTCCAGGACCCCCGTGCGGAGCGGGAGCTGGGGCTCTGCCCTGCTGCCCTGGAGTCAAAGAGGCACTCCCAGACCTACCGTCTTCAGCACGGTCCAGAGGTGGACACTAGCCCCTGCCACTGCAGGTGCCGTGCTGCTTTAGCGATGACTAATGAGCCATTTGTGAAAGAGAGACCTGAAATGTTAGTATATTATGCAGTCAGTAGACTGACCCAAGCCCTATGTAAAAGGAAACGGTGTTCCAACACACAGACTATTTTTGTACTAGAATTTGCTAACTTGTAATATGGAATTTTCCTTTTGGCCAATAATCAGGATTTCCCTATAAGTCACTTGATCATTGGTTACTTGTAGGAAGAAATTTAAACTCTAATTATGACAGCTACGTTGAAAAATAATTGTACTGAAATTAACTTGTCTATCTTCATTTGGTTTTAATTTTTAAATGTTTGTAAAAAGAGACTGTTTGGGGAGGGATGGGCAGGGGGTGGGTGATTTCTTTTGTAAGTGTAAAATAAATGAACACTCATTGGATACCAAATCATCGTGGGTTTCCTTGCCTTTTTCCTTCTAATTTCTTCCTTTCTCCCCCAACGGTGGATCCCTCCTGAAATGAGAAATGACAGAATATCATAACCAGAAGGGATCTTTAATGTTACTGAACCCCGCTCCCCGCTCCCAGCCCCTCCATGCAGAAATTTCATTTTGCAAAGTACAGGTCGCTTCCCTGGTCGTGCAGAATCTTAGACAGCTGGGTGTGTGGGCAGGCCACGTCGCATGTTTCTCCTCCCAAGCCAGGCATTAACGCTCTTGGTCCTGGCTGTGCTGTCCCCAGGTCCCTGAACACACTGGGCACCAAGGACTGCGGCTGACTGGGCAATTTCGTGGAAGGAAATCAGTAAGTAAAGATTCACATTTGCTGAAGAATTATCTGCTGGGATTTTCTTAGAAAGTGGTCTAGAGGCTGACCTACAGGAGAGGAGATAGCTAGAATTATGGAATCTTCAAATATGGTGAAGGCTGAGCACCTTCACCCCTGCGTCACAGACCTCATCATCACCTCCCTGCCAGCTACGTGTGATCGAGTCAGAGGAAGAAGACCTGGACTTGGAGTCAGAAGGCCCAGGTGGCTTCGGCCATTGACATCATTCAGGCTGCTTCCCTGTCTGGAGGTCATCTCACCTCTTGCCTCACTCATATGTCAGGTGGCTGGACGAGACCCAGGCACACATGCACGCCTGATAAAGCCAGCACACAGAGGCTGCATTGCATGCACGTACACCTCAAAAGCCAGGCTGCGAGCATGGACTTTTCTTCAAAGAATAAGGAGTCAAAGATGCTCTGTGTGTCAGGCAACTCCCCTAACAACTACAGTGAAGCATCGAGAACTCTGGAGCCACAGGATGCGTGTGGCTAAAGGACTGACAGGCCTGCCTAGGGTCCAAGCCAGCAAAAATCTGGGCCTCGCTTTTCAGCTGCCAAATGGAGCTGAGATTAAAAAAGCCTGCATGGTCCTGAGAACTCACCAGGATCACATAGGCAAAGTCCTGGCGCTGGGCAAATGCTGTTGAAGAAAACTTTGGCAGTCTGTCTTTACATTATTTGAAGAGGAAAGGAAGACAAGAAGCAGAAAATTAGAGACTTCTGCTTTCAGCCAAGATGAGTAGCAGAGACCTTCTGCTCATCTTGGCTGAGTAGATTGGCCCCTCTGCCTAAAACACCCAAAGGGAGCAGTCAAAATACATGAAACAGTGGTCTCAAGAAAACAGTGGTTATCAGAAAACAAAGGACAGTAATCCCTGGGAGGTGGGAAAAAAACAAAAAGATGAGCCCACAATGGGAGAGTTTCCAGGCTGCAATGAAGGATGGGGAAGCTGAGGTAGAACCCAGATGACTACTGGTGTTGAAATGAACCGTAGAGAAACTAAGGCAGCTTGAGTTCACACAACAATACCAGAAAGGAAAAAGCTCCATAAAGAGAACCCTGGAGCTCAGCGGAGAGAGCACCCTAGTATACTCATTTGAGTCCTGAGCAGTGCATGCACATGAGGAAACAGCCAAGGCCAGGCAAAGAACCATCTGGAAGGATTACAAAGTGAAAATTGCCTAATTATCACCCAGGGCTAGAAACAGTGCCTGTTCCTACCAACTAGGCTAGAAAAACTCGTATCTCACAGGCTTGGGGTAGAGTACTCAGAAAGTCTTCCCTCAGTATTGGAGAATAATTAGAGCACTACTCCAGATCCATCGAACAAAAAATAAAACCAAGGCCCACAAGGATCAACTTCCCAAGTAATTAAGTACATGGCAAAGCAAAGTTCAAGAGAATTTATAAGAATACCAAAGTATACAGTATCCAACAAGGTAAAGTTCACAATGTCTGGCCTCGAAACAAAGAGTCCCAGGCATACAAAGAAGCAGGAGCACAATTCAAAATGAGAATAATCCAACTGACTGATGAATCTGAACTGACCTAAAATTTACAAAGGTATCAAAAATTAGCAGAGAAGGACATTAGAACGGTTATTATAACACTATTCCTTAAGTTCAGAACGTTAGCTGGAGACAGGAATTCATGATCAAACTTGTAGAGATGAAAACTATAACAAGGTGAAATATGCATGGGATAGTATTAATCGCAGATTAGACACTGCAGAAGAAAAGAGTAGTGAACTTGAAAAGAAAACAATAGAAATGTTCCAGAACAAAGAAAAATCCAAAAGAAGAATGAAAAGAAAATATCATCAGTAACCCTTGGAAGTAAAGGAAATTAACATACAAGTAATTCAAGTCCTCAAAGGAGAAGAAAGAGAAGGGGGTAACAGAAAAAAAATATATAGTTGAAGAAGTAACAGCTTAAAATTTGCCTCACCCCTCCCTACTGGCCCTGGTACCACTGTCCACTTTTCCCTCGACCCTACACCCAAGGCCCACGCCTCTGCTCAGCTCCCTACCCCTGTCCACTGCTGCCCCACCTCAGGCATATCACCTGTGCCTGCCGATGTGTTTGCAAGCCGACTATTGGGTGCCAGTATCTTTCTGGGCTGGGACTCTGCCTCTTTTCCAAGTCTGACCTGATCCTGCCCTACAGTTATTAAAGCTGGGGACAGTGAAACAAAGGAAGGGCTTATGGTAGAAGCAATAACAGGAGAGAGTGCAGGTGGTGCCCTGCTTAGGCTCCCTAGAAACATTACAGGAAAGAAGTGAGCCATGGCAGGGCTGTTCTAGCTCCCAGGGAAGTCAGAGAAAAAGGGGGCCTTGGAGGTAGGATCAGGGGGTGAGCCAAGGACAAGGTGCTGCTGCCCACTGCTTCCCTGATTGCAAGTTTCATGGAGACCCTTAGAGTTTAGGAAGAAATGAAAACTTCATGCCCGGAAAGGGGTATGGATGTGTTCTAGAGCAAGGCCACGCTGAATCTTTGTCCTGAGGACCTGTTAACTTTTTTTTTTTCCTTCTGGGTCAGAATTTTAGGGGAGGTTTTCAGCAGAATACTCATCAGCTTTCTAGGTGCATTTGTACATTTTCAATATGCGGATGCATTAAAATGAGTGTTGTGGGGAGGGGAGAATTACTCTTTGGTCTGCTTTATTGTTTTACTTTTATCCTGGGTCTGTCTGGCTCTAGGGGGGTTTTCATTATTCATTCCCCTGATTTCATCTGTCCTTGGGCTTAGCTGGCCTAAATGGTATTAATTCGGTCTCTGTTTTCTATTTTCCCAGAGTAGGGTGATTTAAGCTATATATTCTCTGGTTAAACCGGAAGGAGAGGCAAAAACTATTTGTTCTCAAGTGTCCTCCGTTGGGGAAGATACAGTCTTATGATTGACGAGCTGGCTATAAATTGGCCAAATTGCTTGGCCTTGTTTCATTTTCTTGTCTCAATTTCTCTATTCCGCTTGCCCAGGAATTTTCCTAGCTTCTTACTATCCTGTTACAGTTCTACAAGGGAAAAAAATTTTACCTTGAAAGTGAACAGTCTGTTCTCTTCTTTAGCATTTTGGCTACTAGATTGTAAAGCTATTGTGCAAATAATTGCATCATGGCTGTGTTATTATTCACGGTGGAAAGTAATCAGTGAGCCGGCCTGAAGCAGTGAAGAAGGATGGCAGTCACTCCAGGGGAAGGCCAGCTCAGGATGCCAAAGGCTTGTCCTTCCCTGACAAACATCTTTCATGCAGCTGAGGCATCTGCATTCAAAACACATCTTCTTCAAATGGTGCCTCTCAAAACAAGTGGCTACTAATACTTACTATGTATTGTGCGACCACCAGCAATCCAGGTGACCCTCAGTAGTCTTCGTTGGTCGTGTGCTGCCAGGTGGCATCTTTGCCGACTCTTCGCACTGATATTCCGACAGCATGCTCTAGAAACCGTATCAGCCACAAAAGATGTTTCCTAAAGGAGCAGGTGCTGAGCCTTGGGCAGGAATACATCTGACACACATGCTCCGAAGCCACCTTTTACGCTGCTTTGAGCGCGTATTTAACTGAATTTTAGAAAGTGTCCTTGAACGCAACTGTCCATAGATTTAGCTAGAATTTCGCTACATATGGAAGGCTGTAGGCAAGGGCAGCGGTAATTCGGTTTACCTCTCCTGACAACGCTGTCGCAGAATTTGCTGCAGGCAGCCCACGCCTGGTATCCTGTGCACGCTCAGCTGCCTTGGGCCCTGGCCGCTGCGGCTAGAATGTGGCCCACCCTCCTGCGGACTCTTCTTCTGAGCACTGCTCACCTTTTCTTAAGGGTATAAGAAGTGCAGTTACGCCTGGACTACTTGTCACAGACCCTCGGGCGGAGGGCGGAGGGCGAAGGGTGGAGGGCGAAGGCAACTCCGCTACCCGATAGCGGAGAAAACTTTCGTGACAGGCCACAGTCAGTGCGCCTGCGCTGCCGCTGCCCGGCCCAGTCTGCTTGCGCGTTGGTCCAGCCCTGGGAAGGGAGCTGCTGCCGCCGCTTCAGCCCGCGGCCGCCCCGGTTGTGGACCCTCCCCATTCGCTTCCAGCAGCACTTTCAGGTGAGGACCGGGCTCCCGCGGGGCAGGGCGCGCACTCCGTCGTGTCAGGCGCGCCCCCGACCCCCGGGGGACCTGGCGGCGCCACGGGCCGGGCCATCGACTCTCCAGCCGACACCGGTGGAAACGGCGCGGTGCGCGGAGCGCGGAGCACAGCTGGCTGGGGCAGGCGGTTGGGTGCCTGGACGCGGTGGCCCTACGTGGGGACCACCAAGTGTGCTAGTTGTGGGAACAGTTATCCCTGGGACAGGGGGCCGTCTGGGCAGCCGCTCTCGGAGCCTTAGAACTGGATGGAATGCTAGGAGCACGCACGTTGGGAACCGAGAACTGCTGAAATGTCCCGTGCCAGTGCCTTTGAAAAGCTTCAACTAGACCACGATTTTCAACCTTTTTCATCTCGGGGCGCACATAAACTAATTACTAAAATTCTGTGGCTCACCAAAACGTATATTTTTGTCAATCTGACAAAAAAAGAAAACAAGAAAAAATAGGTATAGTTTTGATTCAGCCACACCGGACAGCTATTGTTGTGTTGGCTGTTGTCATTTTTTATTTTGCAATCTAAGGGAAAGAGGTTGTGCTCCTGACTAAATAGTCAGATAGCGCACCACTTGGCATAATACCTTCTAAAAATCCTTGCGGCACACAAGTTGAAAATCACTGAACTAAACTGACTAGCGATGCGCATACTTTTCCATCCCAAGCTTTATAACTCTAAAATCTGCATTCAGTCTTAAACTTCGCCCTTTGTGTCTCATGATCCTTACACTAGGGTGACTTTAGGTGGGAGAATCTTCAAATTGTGTGGTTTGTTTTCATAAGATACTTTCAAGACAGCAACATCCCTAAAGTTTAGCTTTTTAATGAGGTCCGGGTGTAGACTGTCTCTAACTCTCCTTCTATAACTGTGCCTTGGAAAAATAAAGGTCGGCTGCCTGTATTTGAATGAGGGTCTGGTACAGGCACTGCAAAGTGCGTCACTCACATCCGATACTCACGTCACACCTGTGGAAGGGTGTTAATGATTCTCTCTTACAGATGAGATGGGACTAAGTGAATCATAGTAGCCTAAAGTGCTTTAAGATAAATCGTTGCAGTTTATGAGATGCGTATTATTTTCCCTGTCTTCTGTTGAAGAAACTGAGACACAAAGATGTTAAGTGAGTAGCTAGTCTTCAGTCAGTCATTGAATAAGAGCAGGATTCAGATTCAGTCTGACTGGGCTGTGTAGCAAGGAACATGATGGATTGAAAGGTCATGTTCTCACAACACAGTGCAGTTTTAACTCAATATCCAAATGTGAAGGGCCCAGGGGGTGGTATAGTGACTATTCAAATCCTCCCATTCTGTAGATTTGAAACTTTCTGCCAGCAGATCAGAGACTGGAGAAACAAAAGGCACAAACTGTGCTGTTCCTCACCTTCGTGCCTGCAGCCCTACAGACTATCTGCAGGTGACCTTTTCTGCCTTCTTATGACCTCAAAAGTGGGGTTCCTTTTCTTGTCTGTGTTCTGAATCCTACATCCTTCCCTCTTTAATGGGGCCTTGCTCAGTAGCGTCTTCTCTTATATTTTTATCCATTTCCTTTTGATGTCCTCTTCCTGTCTGTGTTTTAACCATGCTTATATCTCTTCCATGTTTATGGCAAACTCTTCTCTCTCACTTATCCCCTTGAAGCTCTTACTTCACAGCCAGACATCCTGAAAGAATTGCCTTATGCCTCCGTCAGTTCTCTTATGTTCCTCAGAAACCCTCAGTCTGGTTTTTGTCTCCACTGTTTCCCCTGCATCTGTTCTTCCCAAGATCACAAGTCATCTTTTTTTTTTTTTAAGACAGATGGTATATATTTGTATATTCAGCTTTGAGGACACATACTGTCTCTTGTCGCATATTCTTCCCTTTTTGTTTGGCCTTCTAAAAACTGTAGAGCCCATTTTCAGTTGGGCCATACAAAAACAGCCTGTAGTTTGAACCCCTGCTCTAAAAAATAAAGTCAAACCCCAGCATCACAAACGTTTTCCATGACTTTCCAGCTGCATTTGACACTGCACTTTTTTGCCTCCTCGGGAACTTTCTCTGCTGCTTTTGGTGGTGCCACCATCTCCCAGGATTTCTCCTACCCTAGTTTCCTTTGTTAGGTGCCTCATCTGCATAAGCCTGAGGTCTGTCTTGAGCCCCTTTATCTTTCCATTCTGTGTGCTGCACTGGGTGGTGTGTGTGCCTGCTCATAGGCTCAGTGTCCCAGACAGGCTGCATGTGTTCCTGAGCCTCAGAGCTGCCTGTGGGAGAGGCAGTAGCAGGCTGTGCCTGAGAGCACATGCTGAGGCCAAAGAGAAGGGTTTGAACCTGGACAGGTGCACTTATTGGCTATATGATTTGGGGCCACTTGTGTAATCTTTTTTTGGGCTCTGTCTCTACCTCTGTAAAATAGAGATAAAAGGTATAGATCATTCTTACCTCATAGAGTTATTGTGAGGTTTTGAGTTAGTAGATATGATAAATGTAAAGTGTCGAATGGAGACTGGTATGTAATAAAGCACTGTGTTCTTGGTAGTCGTTCCTGCCATTTTGACAGCTGTTTGTTGGACAAGGTCAATGGATGATCCATAAGTTCCTCAGACATGTCATGTTCAGAAATGGGGTTCATCTTTTGCCCCAAACATGTATCTTCTCTGGTTTCCAGTCAAGAAGCTAGGAGACAACCATGACTCCTCCGTAGCCTGTTGGTTCTTCCTCCTATTTGTCTTTGGCATTATGAACTCCCATTCTCCTCATGACCACCGCTTCCCTAGACTACGCCATATTGTCACCTAGATGGCTGTACTTTGTGTCGGATTATTTGCCGCTAGGCTTCCCCTCCTCCACCCCATTCCCGAGCACACAGGCAAAGAGATCGTTTCAAAACATACACAGCTTCTTAGTCTGTAAGTGAATGGTTCCCCGTTGCCTCTAAGATGAAAATGCCAGACTCCGCCCTGCCTGGTGTGGCTCAGTGGATGGAGCACCAGCCTGCGAACCAGAACATCACAGATTCGATTCCCAGTCAGGGCACATGCCTGGGCTGAGGACCAGGTCCCCAGGTGGGAGCATGCGAGAGGCAACCAATCAATGTATCTCTTGCACATCGATGTTTCTCTTCCTCTCTTTCTCCTTCCCTTCCCATCTCTCTAAAATAAATAAATAAAATATTTTGGAAAGGAGGGAGGGAGGAAATACGAGACTCCCAAGTGCTCCGTAAAGCGCGCTGCATCACTCAGCACTTGCTTAGCTCTCACTGCTCCCCTTCTCACCCTTCGGGCCTTCTCTGGAGCCCCGCGCCCTTGCTCATGGGCTTGTCAATATGCTATCACCTCTTTCCACGACCCATTCTTCCCTGCACCCCTAACCCAGCCCTACTCAGCCTTCTAGTGTCTTCTTAAATGGCACTGTCTCCGGACCCGCCCCTGACTTGCCAGAGCCCTTCTCTGTGTCCCTGTGGCCTTTGGGACTCCATGATGAAGGCCCTCGTCCCATGGTCTTGTAGCCGTTCATTTTCCCTGCTGGACTGCAACCTCAGAGAGGTCGGGCTCTCCTCTTGTTTGCAATTGTAGTCCTGCTGCCTAGTATGTACTAGGCCCTCAGATCTCTGACACCAATTTCATCAATGACTAATTATAATGTAGATTGTCTGGTGACAAGATTTGTAGGTTTTTCCAGGCTCTCCAGACTGCTCACTGTGACTGTTACTGACTTTGCTTTGTTTCTGCCTCCCCTCTGTCCACCTAATCACTCCCCCAAACCACAAATTCCTTGAGAAAAGAAGTAGAAATCACTTCCTCAATTGTACAGTATCTGGAAGGGGAAAACATAGACTAGTGACTGATGAACATCAGTACTCTTCATTGAAACTTAGTTCTTTCTCTAGACCTTAGGTTCCATCCCATGCATAGGAAAATAATTCTAGACACTTTATATTTGTGAATCTTACTGTAAGAATGTAATTTTTTTCCTGTTTTCAATGTTGATTTGTTTCATGTGAAAATTCTCGGGCCAGATTTTTCCCAGAGGATAAACAGTAATTTTGTTTTTAAGATTTTATTTATTTTTAGAGAGAGGGAAAGGGAGGGAGAAAGAGGGGGAGAGAAACATCTATCTGTCACCTCTCATACGCCCAGGCCTCGCCCGACCCAGCCACGTTCCAACCAGGAATGGAACCAGTGACCCTTTGGTCCGTGGGATGACGCCCAACCCACTGAGCCCCACCAGTCAGCGCAAAAACAGTAATTGTATGATGGCCATTGGGAAAATAGAAATCAATGTATGGAAACTTTTAGTCTACAGTCCACTTTTCAGGGATGACCCTGGAGCAGAAGCTGCGCTTTTACATACAGTGCCTTGTGATACAGGATACCTTCCACTTCAGCTTAAGATCATAGAGATTTACTGAGCTTTATTTATTCACATCACACTGGTTTTGAGAGGAGGACTGGCTCTTCAGAAACACTTTTCTTATATTATACATACTTTTTGAACTTTTTAAAAATTCCGGTATTTGAGGTGGAATGCTGTTGCTGCCTGTGATACCTGAGAATGGAAAAGTACTAAAGAGCTAAGAGCAGATGACACCTTGATTCAGAAGAGAAATCGCCGGACCATTCAGTGGCCTCGAAACTCAGTATGAGCCCTAGGTAATTTTCTCCCGGCTGTATCAAAAAGCAGCTGCTAGTTTGTAAGACTTTTGAAATGTGGCACAGCTCAATACACAGAGAACTTAGAAACACATCCCCTCAAGGATTTGATTCTGTAGCTTATCTCTTAGGAGATGCTCTTAGTAGATAGAATCTCCCAAAGCGCTCTGTGTAAATTTT